GTCTTTATTCTGTGATGGTCATCAAGATTCCGTAAACTGCAAAACGTTCGATGCAGAATAAAAAATAAATTAGATTGAAGGTGCTGTTTTAAAACTCGTGATGTTTAAAAAAAAAAACTCACGTCTCCCGAATGTAAAGCAAAAACTATATGTAAAAAGCATTTTAGCAAATTTCATCATGAGTCAGTTTGTAGGAAAAAATAACTCTGGTTTATTACTACGATGAGAAGTTGTGAGAAGCAAGTGGAAAGCGAAACTGTTTTGAATGACTCACAATCTAAAGCTAATAAAAATGACGGGAATATTTCTGTATTTCTTAGTAATATTTGTACCAAAACTAGCGCCTTCTTACAAATATGTACAGTTTTAGCTTGTTGGGATAAAAAACGTATTTTAGACAATGCCAATCGTCGAAGTTCCATTTCATCTCGAGTACTTAAGAAATTAAAACCAACATACTAGGGAGGGATAGCCATTTCTGCTTTCGGAGATTGCATTGCAGCACTGGAGAATTCGGGCTAGTTCTACTGACGTTGCGCAATACGGATCAAAGTTCGAAATCATATGAATTAGAGGCTGTCATAAAGGAATATATACAAACCTATATAATTTGTCCTTGAAACTTCCAGATGTGTTCGCAGTCCGTTGAGAGAAAAGGGGTTTCATTTAGCGAATTCATATTTGGCCGACTGTCAGACGGAAATCTTCACAAGAAGCAATTCTTGCTGAGACGTGGTTTATGATGAGAGAATGGAGTTAAATGAAAACCTTACTTCGATAAATTCTCATTTCGGTTGGTTACTGGCAAGAGTGGAAGGAATTAGAAAGTTGACCGATAATTATGAAAATGTTCGTCTAATCACGGATTCATCTTCCCATTTATGGGATTTTTTAAAAAAAAAATTGTGACATAGAAGAATTTCAGTCACAAAAACAAAACTCTTTTGAAAGGAACAATCAGTTAATGAGAAATTTGAAAATTCTACCGAATTTAATGTGGAAAGGTACATTTGTAGATAAATGTGGAAAGAAAACATGGGACCTGCTTCTAGGTCTAATTATGAGTTCTCTAATTATGAGTTTGCGAAAAAGCGTTTTGATTCGCTAAAGCGCAAACTAAATAAAAATCGGGAAAATTGTTACCAGTACAAACAATATCGGTTGAATAGAAACATCAGATTGTGGGGAAATGTATTAATGAGGATAAAAATTCAGGATATTTATACTCTATACAGCGGTAATTAGGGATGATAAGGAAACAACTCGAGTTAGAATTACTTATACTAGCAAATCAAGTGGAAATAATTAATCTTTAGAATAGGGAGTTAAACTTTATGCAAATTTATTGGATATAATTCTTAAATTTTGGAAAAAAATCAAGTTTCATTTTGTGGAGATTTAGAGATAGGTTTCCTTATGATAGAGACTGCGAAGGGAGATAGAAAATATCTTAATTTCTTTTGTGGTTTCCAGATCGGTAAGAAAATTAATCCCAGACTTTTCATTGAAATCTTCTTCCATTTGGTTTAGCGACTTCACCATTTTCCCTTGTTAGTGTTTTGAAATTTCCACCCAAAATATTAAATTCCTTTCTTTATGTTTACGATCTGTGTTATAGAGCCATTACCGCTCAGAATGCTTTATCAGTTGACCTTTGAGGCAATAGAAATACTGAAAGCAGCAGGATTTCATTTGAGAAAATTAAAAATTAGGCGTCCAGAATTGTATAAACCTGAAAATGGATATGAGGAAAATACTAATTTAGGGCAAGAGATAGGTTTCTTGAGATTGAAGCGGGATCTGATAGAGGATAAAATTAAATTAAATTTGAGAAATGATATGAATTTCATTGATGCTAAAATCACCCAGCAACACGTTCTGAGAGTTATTTCAAATATATTAGGATGATTAGTACCCTTGTAATCACATCGAAAATTCTCCTATAAGTGATCTGGGAACATAGTCTAAAATGGGACGAAGATTTTCCAAGTGACTTCGAAATTAAATGTCCTTGTTATTGACGAGCCATATACTTTGATGCCAATACTTAGCTGCACCGGATTGACAGCAGTATGTTCTTTTCTCGTACGGTGTGTGTATGTGTGTGTGATTATGGCAAAGCCTCGAGGGCTATCTGCCTGAAGGGAGGGATGCCTATCGTGGAGGACTTTCTAAGGGAAACTGGCTTGTATACACGTTACACATGGGGAAAACCACGAAAACGCCCATGCAGCCAGCCCGTTCGCGGGATTCGAACCTCGGACCGAACTACCAGTGTTCAGCGACTTTACCGCTCGGCGCTGGTGGGCTTCTTTTCTCGTAAGCCAGCGGCATGTGAAACTGCAACTAGTGATGAACCTGGGTTTTCTATAAATAAATTTATATTTTCGTTACTCTTACGAAAAGATTTTTTCTTGCCACATAGCGTGCCTCAGTCGAGTCTGTTTAAAGGATAGTAACTGATCGTAATGTTTCCATAACATATGGCTTCCTAGCGACAGGATACTATTTCTGAACATGAAAAAGATCATGAAATCGAGCAATGTGGCAAAAAGTTCATTCACGAGGATTACTAATGAGATTTATGAAGAAGATCCCTATGATGTCATCGAAGTCCAATCAAAATTTGAGATTTGACAGAAAAAAAAAAAAAAAAACTTGCAGAATTTCAAAGATTGGATGGAACATTAGAAGCTAACAAGACAAAAGAGGACTTAGAAATAAGGCTATTGAACATTATTTAAATAATTATTTTAATATTAAAATAATTTTAGGTGAGAAAAATAAAGAGACTAATGCTGATAGTGTAAGAAATTCTTCTGATAGTGTAAATAAATCACAAAAACGGAAGTTTAAACTTCTGCGAATTGAGGTAAAGACACTTGATGGAAATATTTTAGAATGGTTGCCGTTTTGTGCTGGCTTACTTAAGAAAATACATGAAGATATGAAGATGATAATATAGATCCTGCCGATAAATTCCAGTATTTTATCCAATCAACTGAGATAAATTCTTGCGCTAGAGAATTAGTAGACGGTTATTCTGCGACTGTAGGTAATTATCCGAAGGTAACTGGAGCCTTAAAATTAAGATTTTGTCAAAATAGATTTATTAACAGAAGCTTATCTTAGAGAACTTTTGTCATTAGTCCTTCAAAATACTACCACAAACTCAACTTAGTTTTCCACTTTGCATGACAGATTCGAATCTCATCTGAGGGCGTTAGAATGTTTAGGTGTAGCCAACTGAAACCTATAATGCAATTCTGTTTCTGTTGACAGAATCCTCTGCTCAGAAGAATCGTTTAGAGGGTAGCAAAGGCAGAAATTTAATCGAAACAAAGTCCAAAGAAAGCAACGCATTTCCGTTGCAGTTTCCGGTTTTAATTTTAAGAATAAATCTTTAAAGGAAAACGAAATGCTAAATTCGAAAGTAAATAAAGAAATTGCTAGTGTTGCTGATTTATTCGTCGTTAAAGAAAATAATGTAAGAAATGCGTGTCTATTTTATATAGGTAAACATAACAGAAATGAATGTTTTAAAGACAAAAATTCGTCGTTGACACAAAATAAAAAAATTCTGTTTGACAAAAGATGTTGCTTTTGTTGTCAGAAATCAGGATATAATGCAAAGAACTGCAAGGTTCCAGTGAATGTATGCTATATTCAACGAGAGATTTTTTATAATTTGTTCGGAACAACATAAAGAAAATAATGATAACAATAAAGACAAAAATAACTCATTTTGTGAAAACAAACCCCTCGAGTCAACAAAGGCGAATGTATAATGCATTGATACATTAACATTCAAGTTCATTTGCTAATGCTGAAGTTTTTCTTCAGAAAATAGTTGTAAAGTGAATGGGTAATAACACTGAGTGTCATGTTTGTTTTTCCGTAACTTCAAAAATTTGTTACAGAATACGCAAGTCCTGCCATACTTGCCAATTAATTAAAGATATAAATTGTAGCCCGTCCAGGTACCTAATTTGTATAAAAGCTACTTTCTTAAGCAAATTAATAGGAATAGATTTGTTATGCCCATACCCACGTAGTAAAATTAATAAAAACGTATACAGTCGATTCCGGTTAATCGGACCACATCGGGAAACGATCGTTTTGGTCCTAATAACCGGTTGGTCCAATTACACGAACATGTCCTATGTTGTAAGACGGGGCGTGCTATATGTAGCAAACAGTAAATATACATGAAAATCATGTACTAAACTGTAATTATGACTTTTATTGTGCGATATACACGTATGGCGAACATACGTGTATACCAACAAGAACTACAGTCGAACTTTTTTCATTGAGAAAATTAATTTAGATACAAATTCTAAGAAACGATCTCCACGATACTGAGCATGCGAAGCACAATAAAAACAAGTTCTTACCAAGTTCCAGTCAACATTTGAAGAACTTATCCAATGTGATCTGACGCGTTCTCTTGACGGATTGCACGTGAACGAAATCACAACAAACATCTAACGCAGCAATGAGACTTCCTTCATTTCCCTCCTGCATGAACTACCGACGCAAAGTTTCAATGCATTTCCTCGCATCTTTTGTTGTCACTTGCACCAACTTATTAGCGGCATCATCATCATAATCACTTTCTTGGTCTTCCGATGTTGTCGTGTGTTTTGCTGCAACTCTAGCAACGATTGCAGCGTCGTAATCTTCATTTTCATCGCACCAGTGAAGCTCGTTGTCGATGGATAAAAACTGTTCGCAATTTTGTACCTGTTGAATATCATTTTCACTTTCAATGAGCATGTCCACATCTATCTCCATAACTAAGTGCTTAAAGCCACAGTGAGAAAAACAGTTCTGAATTGTCTCACTGTTCACTTTTCGTCAGCTGTCGGCCACAAATGTAACTGCTTGTAAGATGTTGACCTTTCCACTGACTTCGATGGCTTTTGACGATGAGGTCAGCAAACTTTCTTCAATTGCTTCAAGGATGTAATTAACCAACCTTGCACGATAAAGGGTCTTCAAATTTTTGATGATACCCCGTCCATTGGCTGGATCAAAGCTGTGGTCCTGCGAGATAGAAATTCCAGTTGCATGTTCAAGCAATCTAAATAAGGATGTGCTGCACAGTTGTCAAGAAGAAGCAACACTTTTCTCGACTGGCGTTGTAGCTCTCTGTCCCAGTCCTTCAACCATTCTTTAAAAAGTTTAGAGCTCATCCACGCATTTCTGTTCGCCCGATAAACAACTGGTAAACTGTCCATGCTAAGCCCTTTAAAGCAGCAAGGCTTAGTGCTTTTTCCTATAACCAACACCTTCTTCTTGTCTGCTCCTGACATGTTAGAGCAGCACAAGACAGTTACGCGATCCATCGCTTTTTTGTAGCCAGAGAGTGCAACATGTTTGTAACTTAACGAGCTGTCCGGTGTAGCAGGATAATACAGCCCAGTTTCATCAGCATTGTAGATGCCATCTGCTGAAAAATTTTCAAGAAGCTCAGGCAGTTTTGTTGATTTCTATTCTTCAGCATCTGCACTATCAACACTTTATTTCTCTCCATGTACTTTCTTGAATTTTATGTTGTAAGGATCTTAAGTTTTACTAACGTTTATTTTATTTTAAATCTTTACTATCACTTCTTATTTTCTACTTCCGGCCAGAATTATAAGCGTGAAGGAGTTTATGCAAAGTTGTCTGGCGAACGCCAAGTATTTAAGTGTGGCCTTTTTGCCAAGCAGAAGAGAGGAAGCCGTGAGTTCGAAGCAGGCCGCTTACCTTAGAAGTTACGCAGTTGCTACTTTGCCTTCCAGGCCAGAGGTTTTAATCCTCTTGATAAATTAAACGTATTGTAGTGTTCACAGTCTCTGTGCTACATACGCTTTCTGTTATTATAAGGCCAATCTTATTCTAAAGTTAAATTAGAGTTTAGTTTTATTTTGATATCTTTTAAGTTAGACCCCGAGTGGAGGGTCATTGTATTCCGAAGTACGGAAGTCATTGTATATAAAGAAAAAATAAAGGGTTTTGTATACCCTTCGTCTGTATCCTGTCTACTTACTACAATTAGTGAACATAGCTTTAGTAAGCTCTCTGTTCTAGTCAGGTCATTGTATGTTTCCGAAGAAGGTTAGAAGAAACATTGAACCTGATAGTGGCGCCCGACGAAGAATAACCATGGCCGAGTTTCAAGAAGAACCTGTGCTGCCTGCAGAAACAGCTCAGAATCCAGAAATGCCAGCTGCCGCCCTGGAAGGATTTGGGTATATTGTCCAGACCATGCGCGCTTCGATGAAACCAGAAGCAACGTTTAATGGAAACTCACAGGTAACCAGTTTTTTGGAAAAATTGGATGACCACTTCATGCTCTACCCCGTGCACGAGTTTCAAAAAGTTACCTTAGCTACCAGCGCTTTGAGGGGCCAAGCGCTTAACTGGTTCAAATGTATCGGCAGAAGCAGAAGTCTCTTGGGTCAAGCAGGAAGTCCCACCTATACCTACGAAAATTTCAAGACTTCCCTACTAAAAGCCTTCCCTGTTGTAAGGGATCGTGCGAAATTAGAAACAGAACTTTTCAGTATATATCAACAAAGAATGGAAAACATCTCCAGGTTTATTTTAAGAAAAATTCACGTTTTTCAAGCTCTTGTATGGAAACCGTCCGGATCCTGAAATAATTCAAGTGATTTTGCCGAGGTTACTACCCCAAGTGCAAGACTTTATTGAATTGAGAAATCCGACTACACTGGAAAAATTATTTGAGCTAGCAATCCAGTTTGAAAGTAGAAGAACGGCGGACGTCGAAAGAAGACGCCAATATCAACAGCGAAACCAATTTGGTACGCCAAGACTACAGCAAACTCAAGCACATGGCTACGGAGAAAAAGAAGAAAAGCGAATCAGTGGGCAAGGAAACCCGAGCATTCAAAAACAGCCGGCGAACGTCGACAGTTCAATAGCAACCCAGGAAAAAAAGTCTCAAGGCCAGTGGAGAAAGAAGGAAAGCACCGAAAGGAAAAATAATTTAAACTAAAACGGATTTCTGCTGACGAGAGGGTGCGGAAATCCGAAGGCCACGAAAACCCCTCTTCCTACAAGTTAAATACAGTAATGGTGAAAAATTTAACTCTTCCGAAGATTGAAGTCTTGGTAAATAATATCCCGGCCACCGCACTCCTGGATACCGGCGCGCAGTGTTCCTGTGTGGCAGAAGTCTTTTTTAGAAAGTATTTTCGCAAATACCGCATATATAATGCGGATAATACAACAGTATTAGCGGCGCAAGGAGAACAATGTAAGTGCGTAGGTAAAGTACCTTTGTACATCCGTATCAAGGACGAACAAGTAAAGGTGATGTTTTTTATAGTAAAGAATTTGCAAGCACACTTAATACTAAGAATAGACTTTCTTTCAGACGCACAAGCTAGACTGGATTTTAATGAAGCGTCTCTTAAGCTGACGGTGAAACCAGTGCGTGTAGAAAAGGTTGAACCGCCAAGGTTAAATCTCGACCACCTGCCTAATGACGAGCAAGATAGAATCCGACAAGTGGTAAGTGAATTTGCTTCCTTATTTAGTGATATTCCAGGATTTACCCAGGTTACTAACCATAGTATTGACACCGGAGATGCATTGCCGGTTCGTCAAAAACCATACCGGTATGATAAGAATAAGGAAAAAATTATAGAATGGCATATTACCGATATGCTACGTAAAAAAGATCGTAACGCCTATCTCAAGTAGTTATGCTAGTCCGGTGGTTTTATGTAAGAAAAATAATGATATCCTTTGGAGCATCCAAAAAAGGTGGAGATTCGCTATTGATTACCGTAAATTAAATTCCATAACGAAATATCCGGTATATCCGTTACCGATTATAGAAGAAATTTTAAGGAACATAAAATCAACCAAATTTATGACAACTTTAGACTTAACGAATGGTTATTTTCAAATAGGGATCAGGCCTGAGGACGTGCCTAAGACTGCTTTTATAACCAAGTCTGGCACTTATGCATTTTTGCGTAATGCCGTTTGGCCTTTCAGGCGCCCCACCGGCAACATTTCAGCGATGCATGGACATTGTGTTAAAGACCTGTTCTCGGAAAAGTCCACATTTATCTATTTAGACGATATCATTATTACTAGTGATAATCTAGACCAACATGTACAGGATTTAAGACAGGTGTTTTCTTTATTAAATGAGGCCGGTCTAAAAGTTAATGTCGAAAAGTATGCAAATTTGCAGCCCCTGAATTAAAATATTTAGGTTACAAAATATCGCAAAAAGGGAATCGAGACAGATGAATCAAAAATAATCGCTGTACAAAAGTATCCGACTCCAAACACGGCAAAGAAGCTCTCTTCTTTTCTAGGACTTTGTTCATATTATAGGTCCTTTATAAAAGATTTTGCGGCTATCGCTGAGCCATTGTTAAAATTAAAAAGGAAAAAGGCAAGATTCTCGTGTGGACGGCCGAAGCCAATAGTGCTTTCGAAAAATTAAAACAAGCATTAACGCAAGCCCCTGTGTTGAAATTTCCTGAAAAGGATGAAAATTTAGAAATTTCAGCGGATGCTTCGGATTATGCGGTAGGAGCGGTACTTTCGCAAAATCAGCAGCCCGTAGCATTTTTTAGCCGAACTTTAAATCAAACACAAAGAAAACTATTCCGCGACCGAGAGAGAGGCACTTGCAGTTCTGTTAGCAGTGCAAAAGTTCCGAGTCTATTTTGGAAAGGCGCCGATAACAGTATATTCTGATCATGCGGCGGTAACTAGATTGTACTCTGGAAAAAATTTATCCCCAAGGTTAATAAGATGGGCACTCAAGCTGCAAGAATATAATCTGGTAATCAAGCATACCCCCGGAAAGGAAAATATCGTAGCAGATGCCCTGTCACGAATTAAATTAGACGAACAGGGTAATACCGTAAAAGTTGCAATGCTGACAGCGTGTACAATAAATTCCCGAGAAACTGTAATAATAACCGAACTGGGTAAGGATCCTGAGTTTGGAAGTATTTATGAGTATTTGAAGGATCCTGAAAATTTTAGCCACCAAGATATTGTGGCGATAAGAAATAGGGCGGCCCATTACGAACTAATAGATGGTCTATTATTTTATACAAAAACTACGAATTCCAACAACGAATTTCGACCTGTTATCCCAGCTAGTCTTAGGATTAAATATCCTGCAAGAGCTCCATGACAGCCCTTTAGCTTCTCATGCTGGTATTCGAAAAACTACTCAACGCGTACGCGAGGCAGTCTACTTTCCTGAACTGCAAAAGTTAACAAGGGCGTATGTCCAGTCCTGCCCAACATGTCAAGCCGTTAATTATATTAATTTCCGCCCGGCCGGGTTTCTAAATAGTATTAAATCCGAATTTCCAAATGAAATAATCGGCATCGATTTATTGGGCCCTTTCCCAAAAAGTCAGTTAAACAAAAGTCGCTATCTCCTTGTTATAGTTGATCATTTTAGTAAATGGACCGAAATTGTTCCCTTAAAACGAGCCTCCGCGAAATTAGTTACCGATTCTATTTTAAATAAATATATTTTAAAATACGGGGCGCCCCTAAAAGTTATATCGGATAATGGTCCTCAATTTGTAAGTAATATATTTGAAGACATGTGCAAAAAACTGGGCATACGTCATTTAAAAATGGTCCCGTATCGGCCGCAATCAAATATAGCGGAACGGGTCAACAGAAATATAGTGAAAATTATCCGTAGTTATGTTAAAAATTTTCATAAAAGCTGGGATAACTATGTCAATGAATTTGCTTTCGCCCTTAGGACCGCAAAATATGATACAACGGGCAAAACTCCTGCTGAGTTATTTCTAGGCAGAAAGGTTATAACCCGTTAGATAAACTATTTTATGTGCAACAAAGAGCCCCAGAATTTAAAATGGGTGATATAGAAAAACTAATAAAGAAAGCAAAAAAGAATACGGAAGTAGCACAAAGAAAACAAAAATTGTATTATGACTTGAAACGACGGGGAGTAACTTATAAAGTAGGGGATGAAGTTTTTTAAAAATTAAGCATTCACTTTCTTCAGCACCAGAAGATAAAACTGCCAAATTTTTTCCACGCTTTGAAGGACCATATGTTATAGAAAAAATAACTCACGCTGTTGTAGTGTTAAAGGCAAGAAATGATGAAACCTGTTCCGCAAACATTGATCAAATCAAAAGCCCTACTTCGATCGTAATAAAATGCAAATCTTTTCAGATCTTTTGCAGGATCCGGTACGGCAGACACCGCAGGTACAAGTTCCAGAGGTGGGAAAACGACAAGTACAAGGGCAAGCCAATGAGAGACAGAAGCAAGTGAA